AAACAGACAGACGGACCGACGGACAGACGGACAGACGGACAGACTTACATACATATTTCGATTCAGATGGTGATGCTGATCAAGAATATGTATACTTTATGGGGTTTAAGGTGTCTCCTTCACTGCGTTGCAAACTTCTGACTGAAATTTGCTCTGCAAGGGTATAAAAAAAAAAAATTTATTTATTTATCTATTTATATGTATGTTCCTTATAATTCGTCCTTCGGTATAAATGTGTTAGTATTTAAGGATAAGAATTGAAATTATAACGAGTTGAAAAAGATGAATTTTTGTGAGCAAAAATTCCTGTTGGGGGGATGAGATATAGTAGGCGAGGTACCCCAACCCACAACATAAAATTGGGAGATGTGTCCAAGGCATGTCCTAGGATCACGGTTGCCAGATTTGGCTCTTTTGAGGCAAAACTGGCTCTTTTTTTTCATTGGCTCTTTGGCCCATTTTCTTTTTTTTCTCATTGGCTCTTTGGCCCATTTTTATTGATTTTGGCTCTTTTTTGCTAATAGCGAGACAAAATATTTTATATTTGAAAAAAAACGAATTAATTTTTTATTTATGCATTTTTTTTTTAAGTGATTAATGTCTGAAATCTAAAAGTGTCAGATCGAAACAAAATTGTTCCGCTGGTATGGTAGCTCTGATCATATGTCAGAATGACTTAAATTACCAAGTGATCCTTAGTTTCATTGCAGAAAAATGTGATGTGATGTTTTTGTTTATTTTTTTTATATGAGTTTTTTATGATAAAAGTTAAAAAAAAAAAAACAATAAATAAAAATTTGGCTCTTATTTGTTCAAATTGGCTAATTTTTAATCTTTTTTTGGCTCATTAAAAATTTTTGAAGTGGCAACCGTGCCTAGGATACACTCATGGTCGGGAGGGACTCCGAGGGCTACCAATTTAGCTATGTATTCCAATCCAGGTAATCCTAAAATCCATTGTGTAAAAATTAGTCCATGTCCAGATATTCGAGTTTTAAATTCCGTTTTGTTTGTTTTTGTTGTGACTGCCGTGTAAGTGTTCGCTATGGTTGTACCCCTCCCTGGGATATCGATGGCTAGTCGGCAAGCACTGGACACCCGAAAAGGGCAGAACATAACAAATAATTGAAAAAATTAGAATTAACAACAAAGAAAACGAAATATTAATCCCAAACCAAGAAATCCATCCAGGTGTATTCATAGCTAATACAATAATTTAAAAAAAATAGCCCTTTCGTCAGCATTTGTTATGTGCGGCCAAACGGAAAAATTTAAAAAAACCAAAAAAAATGTAAACAATATATGTTTACCAACGGCCGCCGATAACAGGTTATCGATTCTGCGTGAGTCCAGACAGGGTTGCGACCTTTTAAGCCTCTGGAACTGGTTCCCCAAGAATGACTGACTCCAAAAAGGTGAATTTGAAAAATTTTGAGTATTTTTTTTTGGCAAAGAGAAAATAGAAAAGAAAAAGTGCATGAGGTCCAAGAGGTTATATCGAAGTAATCAAGAAGGCCAAAAATTTTCAAAAATTATAAACAAATTTTTCATGAAAAGTGAGTTAAATAATATAAATAAAAGATAAAGTGCTTAAAGTAAAAATAAATAAATTGTTGTTTAGAATCGATCCCGGAGAAGATATTGGAGCTTATTTTCTTGGACAAGTTGAAGGAGGAGACACACCCAAAAGAAGAGGGCAACTTTTTTATAAAGAAAAAACTGGCCACTCATTGCTGGGTGGCCCCCAGGTTTTTGTTAGCTTAGCTATTTATTTATTAAAAACTAATTAGAATTAAGTAAACAAAAGCAGAAACCCAAATGTGAAGTCCATATAAATGAATTAATCAGATACTCCAAATATGTATTCCAAAAAGAATTAAAATAATCACATATTTATTTATTTATTTATCTTGATATTAACATGTAATATAGCCAGATTTATTTATTATTTATTATGCACTATTTATTTATTTAATATTTATTATTTATTTATTATTTATTTCTAAATTATTATTTGATGTTCCTTGTGATTCGTCCCGCGGTACCGTGGTTAGGTGTTAGGTGTCATATATGTTAATATATACCTAAGTACAAAATTGAAATTATAACGAGTTAAAAAAAAGAACATGAGTGAATAGAGTATTTAACGAGGGGGTGAAATGAGTACGTATTTCCACAAATAAGATAATAGGGAGGTGCAACATAAGATGCACCCATGGTTGGGAGGGCCTCCGAGGACTCTAATCCTATCTTTTGAGTCCATATGTATCTGTCCCAAAATCCGTTGTTTTTTTGTCCATGTTCAGATAGTCCATTTAAAATTCCGTTTTGTTTATTTTTGTTGTGACTGCCGTGTCAGTGTTCGCTACGGTTGTACCCCTCCCTGGGATATCGATGGCTGGTCGGCAAGCGGCACAATACAACAGAGAAAAAAAAAGGCAGGACATGACAAATGGCGCCCAATCAAAAAAATATAGAAGAAAATTAATAAAATGGAATCAATAAAAATATAAAGTAAACACTCACCAAGGTAAAGGCCAGTAAAGAAGATCTCAGAAACCATCTGTTTGGACCGTGGGCAGGCGAAGTAGACCAGACCCATCGTAGCCACAGTGGGGAAAATTCTGGGGAGTCCTTGTTGCTGAGCACAGTCCTTGAGGTGAAAGGAAGACAGGCTAGAATGTGCCTGAAAAAAATAAACAGTTGTCTTATTTAAATGTTGTCTAAAGTAAAGTAAATTTTAAGTAACTTACCTAAATATTTTGTGTCTGTGTTTGTAATTGGTGTGGTCCGTGTACACTGTTTATGAGGTGTAGCATCGATGCCCAACAGTTGCAAGTATAGACTGAAAAAAAAGAAGTTTAAATTAAATTGATTAAAGGCAAAAAGAAAATTCAGATACTTACCGGAAGCGAAGAAAACAGGAAACAGAAACGGAAACCAGCTGTTTGGACCGAGGACCTACCATCAGGGTGGAGATCCTTGAAGCCACAGTGGGACAATTCTGAATTTCTTCCTGCGAAACTCTTCCGAAGTGGTAGAAAAATTCTCCAATCAGTAGTGGACCCATGGCCGAGTAAAGAGCGGCACATGCGCAGCCAGACTGAGTTGAGGCGAAATCTGTTTGTAGTAAATGTAAAATGTAAAGTAAATATTTGTCTTTTAAGGTTGTTATTTTTCTTGTAAAGTAAAAAGTTCACGTACCTAATTTGGCTGTCCGTATTATGCAAAAATTTAATGTGGCCCATGTACGATAATATCCAGTCGTAACATCGTTGCCCGTTGAAAATTGCAGACGGATTCTGAAAAAAAAAAATTTAAAGTAAATAATAGATAAATTAAAATATTGCCAGTAATTTAAAGGTACACAACGGATTAGGAACTGAAGGAAAGGAGAGAAAAATTAGGGGAGGGTGGTCCCATACCGACCGGTCGTACCATACCGACCCCCCATGTTTCTCAGAGATGGCGATGCTAGCCGAATTGTCGGTAACTTCAGTGAAAAGCTGTTATAACACAGACATTTTGGAGATAGATAGCCACTTTGACTTATTTTGTTTCACTGCAATTTTTCCGTTTGTTTTGTTTCAACGCCTGTGACATTTATTTTTGAGCTTTACTGAACTTGAGCTCAAAGTTTTTTTTCTCCCGCATAAAAATCGGAGAGTAAATTTTTCTGATCGTTGATAGTCCTAGCTTTCACTCACATAATTAGAATTACATCGCTCTTTGCGTCTTTAGTTAATGCCGAGCAGTTAATCAGAAAAGGTCGTGGTGGTCGAAACCGACCCCCATTTATTGGCAGCTTAATATGTCATAGCGTATTTTTGATGGAAAATATGAAAAAGTAAACAAGATTCAGTAAAGAAAAGTAACAGAAACATCAAAAACATCAGAAGAAAGCGAAGAGACAGTCTTCAACGAGCGGCTTTCGAAAAACAACGCGAAACTTACTATGAGAAAGAGGACAACTCAGACTTCATCAATTGACTACAGTGCCCTTTGTTTCATACATTAATTTTTATTTTCTGGAAAGAACCTTCAATATATTTCTTAAGGGGTTACATGGGTTTCCTCGGGTAAAAAACGGCCTTTTTTCAAACATTTTTTTTGCATATAAAAAATGAAATATTTCAATGAAACTTTTTATTATTTAAAAGATACATATTTAATAAAGATTTTGTGAAATTTTCAAAAAAAATATCAAAATGTCGGCCATTACGACGCCATTTCCGGCAGTCCCTCGGAAAAAGGTGCCTCCGCGTTGTCAGCAGAACTTCTTTCAGGATCATCCAAAGTAAAAATAAAAAAAACGTCTTTCAGTATAGACAATAAACTAGGTATTGGACGAAGGAAAGGAAAAAAAATGAAAATTGGATTTTTGGCAGACGTTTTTACAAAAAAATGCAAATTTCGATGAAAATTTCTCGACATTTTTTTTTTTTTAAATAGTTGTAATTGAAAAAAAAAATCCTTCGTTCAATACCTTGTAAATGATATCTCGAATACTTGTGTAAAATTTCATTAAGATCGGTTGAGTAGTTTGCGAGAAATTTTGACAACCGACTTTGAAAACATAGTTTTGAGAAAAACGCGTTTAAAGTTTTAAGAGACAATAAAAGTGGTCTCAAGCGTCCACCTTCTCAAGGCTGTATCTCCGAGACTATTACTCGGATCAACTTGAAAATTTAGGACAATATTCTAGAAATGTTATAGAATTTAATAAGACAAAAAAAAAATATCGATTTTTTGAAACCGTGAAACCCATGTAACCCCTTAATAAACGTCAAAATCATTAAATTCTATTTTATGTTATTAAATTTTTCTGTTAAGAAATAGGGGGTCGGTTTCGGACCACTACTTTTGAGTACGACCAAAAAGTAGAGTTTTATATTTGCCTGAATATCTAACGCTTCAAAGCACCTACGCACTTACTAATCATTTAGATGTATAGTAAACTGATCCCTCTACATAGTACTTTTTTGAACTGAACTGAAAAATTGATTTTTCTCACCTTTATCGCCTTTGCCTTTTAGGGGGTCGGTATGGGACCACCCTCCCCTAGTGAGTAGTGGAAATGGTGACGTCTCATCTCCGCCAAACATGCTGCCGTCCGTGCGTCACCAGATGGGATTCCCGCCGCCAACCTCGGGGGCATTCTCAGAGAGGCAGGAGCTGAATCGCCACGCCTCGGAAGGATATCCGCACGCCGACTGGTCGACGGATCCTGGAAACGGTGGGACACAGCAAAACGGAAATCCAGGGCAAGATCCGCGGCGAGCAAACGGGACAGCAGTCGAGTCCGCGTTTAAAGTTGGTCAGCTGCGGAAGTGGGGTCTAAGCTTCGATGGAAGTCCAAGAAGTATGCCTGTATCCGAATTTATATTTCGCCTCGAACATCTACAAAGGTCGTACCAGGTTCCATGGAAGGAGGTTCTAAGAGAATTTCACATATTAGTAGAAGGACAAGCAATGGAATGGTACTGGATGTACGTGAGGTCGACGGAGAAGCAAGAGTGGCCTTACCTGAGGTACGCACTACAGCAGCAGTTCCAGAGTCACCGATCCAACTTCGAGCGAGAATATGAGTTGCGAGAGCGAAAGCAGAAGCCGGGAGAATCCAATGAGGTATACATCCAGACCATGCTAGCGCTCAGATCTCGACTAGAGATGCCTTTTTCTGACTTCGAACTGATAAAGGTGATAAAGATGAATATTAGGGATCAGATTTCGAGAATAATATACCCGATATACATAACAAACCTGGACCAACTCCGACACGAAGTCCACGACGCGGAAAGAATATTGGCGACGCGATGGACCAGACAGCCGAACCATCTCGAGACTCACCGGGGATATAAGGATCGTTCGAGAGTAGAAGCGCTTTGTCCAGAACCCGTCGGAGAAGAGAGTGGACCTGTGGATCAAGAAGAAGTGGAGGCCTTAGCTAGGCACTGGGAGAGCCACAGAGAACGACCACCACTTACCTGCTGGAATTGTGGAACCGTGGGACATACGTTCAATGCGTGTGAGTCAGAGGTGTTGAAGGTATTCTGCTTCAAATGTGGTGATAACTCCAAGATGCACGCGATGTCAAACGGGAAACGGCGGGAGGAGCATGGGCAAGAACGAGGAACCACGCTCCAACCCGTTTGCAACGAACAAATAAAAACCTCGTCAAATTGCATGCCTAATGATAAGAATAGCGATAAAAAAATTAATAAAATTAGTAGGATTATGATAAATGTAAACAAACCCGCACATAGCATTAAATGGTCGAAACGTGAACCACTAGCAGTCCGAGAAGCAAATTACCAAGAGGCCAGGAATCGGATAATGGGGACATACAGCCCAGACCGACACACTTCTCCAAAAATTGCCAGAGCCCGTAGGCGAAGTCAGCAGCGAAAAAAGGAAAGAAGGATGATTTGCTCGGCCATCAGAGCTGCGATGGAAGGCGACAATAGACCATTCGCAAAGGTCATGATAGAAGACTTGGAAATCGTCGGTCTCTTGGATTCCGGGGCATCAGTTAGCTTACTCGGGGAAGGTTGCCTAGAAATAGTAGAGAGGTTAAGACTGAGAGTAGAGAGATCACAATCGATAATGAAGTCAGCAGGAGGTACGCAACATCGAGTAGTGGGAAAGATTCAGCCCAACGTCTCGTACAATGGGCTGTTACATCGATTGCCGATACTCCTTTGTCCTTCCTTGAAACAAAAATTATACCTTGGGATAGACTTCTGGAGGAAATTCCAATTAGCCCCAGAGGTAGTGGGTGTAGAATCCTTACACCAGGTGGAAGCCGAATTCATGGCCAAAGGTGAACCGATAGAAGCGCATATCCTATCCCCAGAACAAGCTGAGCAGCTGGAAGAAGCAAAAAGACATTTTTTGACCTACGAAAGGCAGGGATTAGGACTCACCAAGGTGGAAGAGCATTCGATCCAGTTAGTTGAAGGAGCCGTACCCGTCAAGGAGAGATTCATTCCAGTTTCTCCGGCAAAACAACAACTGCTGTTCGCCGAAGTCGATGAAATGCTTCGATTAGGAGTCATCGAAGTAAGTGAAAGTCCTTGGAATAACCGAACGACACTGGTACAGAAACCTGGCAAAAATAGACTGTGCTTAGACGCCAGAAAGCTTAATACACTCACAATTAAGGATGCTTACCCATTGCAGAATATCGAGTCCATTTTAAGCCGAGTAGATGATACAATTTTTATCAGCAGCATCGACCTCAAGCATGCTTTTTGGCAAGTGGAGCTGGATGAGAAAACTCGTCCGCTAACGGCTTTTACAATCCCGGGTCGACCATTGTACCAGTTTCGGCGAATGCCGTTCGGTCTATGCAATTCGGCTCAGAGATTATGCAGGGTGATGTATAAGGTGATCCCACAACGACTGCGCAGTCGAGTATTTGTGTATCTCGATGATTTGCTGATGATATCCCCGACCTTCGAAGAGCACTGCAAATTGCTGAAAGAAGTGGCAGAGTGTTTAAGGAAAGCAAATTTGACGATCGGCATGCAAAAATCCAAATTTTGTTTTAAATACATGCGATATTTGGGATATATCGTCGGTGATGGAGCCTTGCGAACTGATCCAAAGAAAGTTGAAGCGATTAACAAAATCGAAGTTCCCAAGAATACTCGACAGCTTCGCAGTTTCTTAGGAACGGCTGGCTGGTACCGCAGACTTATCCAAAATTTCTCCGGAGTAAGTGCACCGCTTACTGATTGCCTGAAAAATAAATAAATAAATTATTTGGACGGAAGAAGCGACAGAGGCATTTGAAGCTCTAAAAAAGGCACTTACGTGTGCACCGGTATTAGTGCATCCAGACTTCGAGAAACATTTTTGGATCCAGTGTGATGCTAGTCACGTAGGGATTGGAGCAGTCCTATACCAGAAAGACCAGGAAGGCTTCGATCGGCCAATTGCGTTCTTTTCGGCGAAATTGAGGGGAGCGCAACTCAACTACAGCGTAACCGAAAAGGAATGTCTAGCTGCGGTTAAGGCTGTAGAGAGGTTTCGCCCATATGTGGAGTTGATGCCGTTCACTATAGTCACAGATCACGCTAGCTTACAATGGCTAATGACGTTAAAAGATTTAAACGGAAGACTGGCGCGGTGGTCTCTAGCATTGCAGGCATTTGACTTCAATATCGAGCACCGGAAAGAGAAAGACAACATCGTGGCTGACATGTTATCCCGACCGAACGATGTAGCCGAAGTAGAGTTCTTCGATTTCGAGACAACGGAGTTTGAGAGTCCCGAATATCTGGAAAGACTGCGATTAGTTGAAGAGCATGGAAATGATAAGTTTCCGGACTTACGTGTGGAAGAAGGACTTCTCTTCAAGAAGACACAGTTTAATAGGGAAGAGAGTGAAGAGTTTGAATGGAAACTATGGATTCCTGAAGCTCTGACGACGACTTTGATCCAACAAGCTCACTGCGGCAACACGGCAATGCATGGAGGTATGGGAAAGACCTTAGCGAGACTCCAACAGATGTTTTACTGGCCCAAAATGGTAGTTCAAGTCCGAGAGTTCATAGCAGCTTGTGAAAACTGCAAGGAAAGCAAGCATACACCACAGATAAAACGACCAATGATGGGAAAGGAAGTAGAGACAGACCGACCCATTCAGAAGTTGTACTTGGATTTCCTAGGAAAATATCCGCGCTCCCACCGAGGAAATACCATGTTGTTCATCGTGTTAGACCACTTAACCAAATTTGTATGGTTGAAAGCGATGCCGAAAGCGTTGGGAAACGCTTTGTACGCTTTGGAGAACTTGCGCGGCCATCCTTTGGGAATTTTTCATGCAAAGGATTTAAAACAAAGTGCCCGGCTAGCAAATCATACTCACCAGATCTTAATCTCAGGGTTGTGGGCGGTGGCCTACGTTGGGCTGGACAGCAATAACACACCATCTGCAAACGCACATCCTCCACTCCTGTTCCACGGCAAGCCCCGAAACCGTAGTTTGCTTGTTATGTGCGGCCAAACGGAAAAATTTAAAAAAACCAAAAAAAAAAAATGTAAACAATATATGTTTACCAACGGCCGCCGATAACAGGTTATCGATTCTGCGTGAGTCCAGACAGGGTTGCGACCTTTTAAGCCTCTGGAACTGGTTCCCCAAGAATGACTGACTCCAAAAAGGTGAATTTGAAAAATTTTGAGTATTTTTTTTGGCAAAGAGAGAATAGAAAAGAAAAAGTGCATGAGGTCCAAGAGGTTATATCGAAGTAATCAAGAAGGCCAAAAATTTTCAAAAATTATAAACAAATTTTTCATGAAAAGTGAGTTAAATAATATAAATAAAAGATAAAGTGCTTAAAGTAAAAATAAATAAATTGTTGTTTAGAATCGATCCCGGAGAAGATATTGGAGCTTATTTTCTTGGACAAGTTGAAGGAGGAGACACACCCAAAAGAAGAGGGCAACTTTTTTTATAAAGAAAAAACTGGCCACTCATTGCTGGGTGGCCCCCAGGTTTTTGTTAGCTTAGCTATTTATTTATTAAAAACTAATTAGAATTAAGTAAACAAAAGCAGAAACCCAAATGTGAAGTCCATATACAGTCGAATCCCGATAATTCGTACCCCGCTAAATCGAAAATCGCGATAATTCGTAAAAAATTCTGTCCCCTTGAAAAAAACTCGTTAATTCGTAAAAATTCCATACATTTTGGTCCCCTCGTTAATTCGTAGTATTTTGCGCAAAGCAAAGAATATTGAACCTCTTATAAATCGTAATGCGATGCGAAATTTTTTCAGTTAAAGCACCGTTAGATTTTGCAGACAGCTATTCCGCCTTTATGTCGCCTATGCATTATGAATTTTGTGTTTCTCTCGCTGTTTTCGTTTAGTTTGCTGATTCTTTACGGAGAGTAACAGCGTTCTGTGAAAATGTCACAAAAACGTACGCATAAGACGTTATCAAACGCGTAAAAACAAAACATTTTTTTAGCAATTGACAATGGAACAAAAAAAATTGAGGTGGAAAAACAATTCGATGTCGCTCCATCAACAATAACATCAATTCTACAGAAAAAAGAGTTTATAATGCAAGCATCCCCTAGTAGTAAACTGGAACGACAGAAACATGCTGTATACCCGAATATAGAAAAGTCTCTACTTTTGTGGCTTACACAATGCCGTCAAAGTAATGTTCGCATTGCAATTTTTCTTTAATATGAAAACGTACAAATGAATGTTAAATTATGTTTGTTTAATTTCAATACAGCTAAATACATATGTATAATAAAACATGATAAACATGATGAGAAATGTAAAAACCCCGTTTATTCGAATTTTTCATTTTTGATCCCCGTTAAATAGAAATCTCGATAAATCGAATTCCCGTCTAATTCGTAAAAAAAAGTGATCCCCTTGCCATTTCGAATTATCGGGACTCGACTGTAAATGAATTAATCAGATACTCCAAATATTTATTCCAAAAAGAATTAAAATAATCACATATTTATTTATTTATTTATCTTGATATTAACATGTAATATAGCCAGATTTATTTATTATTTATTATGCACTATTTATTTATTTAATATTTATTATTTATTTATTATTTATTTCTAAATTATTATTTGATGTTCCTTGTGATTCGTCCCGCGGTACCGTGGTTAGGTGTTAGGTGTCATATATGTTAATATATAAGTACAAAATTGAAATTATAACGAGTTAAAAAAAAGAACATGAGTGAATAGAGTATTTAACGAGGGGGGTGAGATGAGTACGTATTTCCACAAATAAGATAATAGGGAGGTGCAACATAAGATGCACCCATGGTTGGGAGGGCCTCCGAGGACTCTAATCCTATCTTTTGAGTCCATATGTATCTGTCCCAAAATCCGTTGTTTTTTTGTCCATGTTCAGATAGTCCATTTAAAATTCCGTTTTGTTTATTTTTGTTGTGACTGCCGTGTAAGTGTTCGCTACGGTTGTACCCCTCCCTGGGATATCGAGGCTGGTCGGCAAGCGGCACAACCAGAGAAAAAAAAAGGCAGGACATGACACATTATTAACACCAACTCTATAGAAGTCCAAATACAGAAGACAAAACTTAAGAATGAACAACTCTCTGACTACAAACACAAATAAAAAAACATCAAAAGGACATAATGTCAACCCTAGAAAAGAACTTCCCATTATTCGTGAAAACAGAAATATTCAATTTTTGCAGTGAATATACAGACATATTTGCTAAGCAAGACGATAAAATTACATGTAATAACTTTAACAAACAGAGACTAACCGTGAGAGATAATACACCAGTATACACAGTATACAAAGAACTACAGAATCCCACATAATCAAAACGGAGA